ATTGCAATATAGATACAGATACAGATATAGATATAAACAGATACATAAGGGGGGGTATTTAAACTGAAGCTAAGGGAACTGAGGATTTAGAGAATTACACACATTTTCACCCCTCGTATATCCCCCCCTCCTCAGTTCCTTATCCCAATCCTCCTTGCAAATGTTGAAAAGAAAAACAGGAAACTAAAACATTGAGGATGGGGTTCATAGACAACAGAAAATTCACCATTATTCTCTTAATTCTCCACTCCAACTTTCTTTGCTTGTAAGACAGCTAGCTCTTTCTTATTTAAAACTTCTGTTTTCTTATTTTGAAGAAAATTAATAGTGGTGTCAGCATGAAGGGTGGGGGAAACCAGTTGAATCACCTCTTTTAAAACGTTTTTGAGAAAGCCAAAGGACAGATCCCAACATTCAAAAGAAATAAAAGTTTTGCCATTTTCTTTCCCACATACAAAATCATTTTTCTGCCTAGGCGATGGGAAGAAGAGAGGGACCGAATCGTTGTGCTGTTTTTCACCCTTCTTACCACTTGCTGCATGACACAGAGTATCCGTTTACATACATTGCACCCAGCCAAAACAACCCTTGCTAGGGGGCTGCACCGCAGAAACGACAGAAAGCAGAAAAGGAGGCAGCGGCCCGAGCTGGAAGGTGATCCCCCTCCTCCCTCCCACCTTAAAGGTCACCGAGCGCCGTCTAAATTCTGCCGCTGGCTCAAATCCCAGATCTCCTGTTTGCCCTGCAGGCTCTTCAAGAGGAAAGGCGATCGAGCCAGTCGGTGGCCTTTGCAATCCAAGCCAGCCCCACCGGGCATCCCTAATCGCCTCCATAATGTGCTTCGTGCCGGGCCACATGAAAAAGGACATGGCTTTTTTTTTAAAAAAAAGCCCACTAAGTGTCAGTGGCTCCTGCTCGAGCGGCTCCCTCTTAAACCTTAAGGTCAGCTTTGCTTACATCTGCACCCAGCCCGGCTCTTCGCCAACGAGCCATTCTATGCCACATTTTGGAGGAGAATTTCCAAGCGTCCAGGTGGCTTTGACCGCGCTGGGCTAAAAGCCCCCATTGCTTCGGAAAGATCCGGAAAGCTCAGCCTGCCTGCCTTCCTAACCTGACGGCCTCCAGGAGCGCCTCCTTACCCAAGAAACTATCCGGAGGATCGTGTGAGGTTGCCGGATGAAGGTCTGGGGGTCAAAGGCGCCCCCGGCTTTGCCAGCTCCGTACGCGGCCGGTTCCATCCTCGGAGCAGCCCCGCTGGCAAGACTTGCCGAGCTGCCTTTCCCTCTCTCAAGCTTTTATCCCTCGGCGATCAAAGTTGACGGCGCCGGGGACGGACGGATGCTCAGCGAGAGGGCAGAACCCAGGCAGCGCCGTCCAGCATCCGAGAGCTCAGCCCGCAGAAAGGAGGCAGCGGTTGTCGGCGGAGGAGACGGTGGAGCCGCGCGCGAGGCCGGGAGGTTCTGGTTGGGAGTTAGTTCTGCCCGACGGCCCCGCCCTCCCGTCTTGCTCCCGGGCCTGACTTGCCGAGCTGAAGGGAGAGGAACTCGCGGGCGACAACTAAGGCCGGGGGAGAAAAGCAACCTCCATACGGGTACATGCAGGGTTGCCAAAGGGAGCCAGGCGCGCTCCCGATCCGCAGCAATCGAGGGGCGGCCGCCAGTCCTAGTGACGGCAAGCGCTTACGTGCACCCGCCATCCTAGCAACTTGGAGGGGGGGGCGAGGGGGGAAGGACGCTGCGGAGCTCCGCTTCCCTCGGCCGTGAAGGCCTTTCCAGGGAATGCGGTCTTCTTTCACGGGGCGGTTTCGGGTCCGCAGCCCTAGTTTAGGAACCAACTGGAGTCCCCCCGATACAGCAGTACGTAGTTTACGTAACCTAGTGAAGGCAGAGGGGCTTTCTTCTGGATAGAAGCGAATAAGGTCTGCGCTGGTCTTCGTGAAGCTCACGATTAAACATGCGCTCTTTTGCTTCTAGGTTACCAAAACAAGAGACACGAGACGTAGAGACCTCCTGGGTTAAATGGAACTTTCTTACTTTTTTCCTTGTGTACTATTTTTATAGCAATTGGCTCGTGGGAAAGCTTGGGAGAACTTGAAAAGGTGCCTTTCGTGACACTTTAGGTATTCCTAAGAAAGGTATCCAGTTGCAGTCTATGGAGATTCTCGGTCATCCAGATCATGGTTGTCCCAAAGGTGCTTTTTCAAAAGGCAACTGGACTTTCTTTGTTTTTCCTTGAAGAACTGAAGAAATTGAAATTGTTTTTCCTTGAAGAACTGAAGTTCCTTGGGTGAGAGGCAAAATATCTGAATGGAAATAATTTTATGTTTTCCTCTTTGCGGATGACGTAAAACTATTCGACACCACCAACAATGCTACTGTCCTTCAAAGCGATCTTGATGATGTGTCTGAATGGTCAAACAATTGGCAACTCCAAATCTTGACCAACAAATGCTCTGTCCTACACATTGGTTAAAAAAAATCAGTACACCAAATACAAACTAGGCAAATATGACTTCGTTGATGATCCTCACACTCTGTCACAGACCTTGGACTTCTCATATCAAATGACCTAAGCACCAGAGCTCACTGTAACAGCATTGCCAAAAAGGCATTAAGAGTTGTAAATCTAATCTTACTAAGCTTCTCCTCCAGAAATATCGAATTGCTAACTAGAGCATACAAAACTTTTGCCAGACCAATACTCGAATACAGCTCTTCAGTCTGGAATCCGCACTATATAATTGAGCAAGTCCAGAAGTATTTCACGAGAATATTGCACTCTTCTGCTTGCAACAAAATACCCTATATCAGGGGTCCCCAACCACTGGTCCGCGGACCAGTACCGGTCCGTGGGTCATTTGGGACCGGGCCGCCTACTTTGGTTCGGCGCCATCTTGTTCCGACGTGCTGGATCGAGCGCTGGTTTTGACGCCGTCCCTCAGCCTCGCTCGACCAAAAACGTCAACTCCATGCTGTGCGTGGCTAGAGAAAAGGGAAATGTGGTAGCCGTGGAGAAGCTGCTCTCCCTAAGAAGGAGGCTCCTGATTCGCGGAGCTTATGCCAGGAGTTCTGCGAGGCTCTGGTGAAGGGAGGCTACGCTACTGCCGATTACCTCGATCCCAGCCTGCACGAACTCCCTCACCCTCTTTGGAAGCGGCTGGCGACCTGGTCAAGGCTCACGAGAAGCTCTTCTTCAATCGCCTCACCGACACGCGGCTACAGGCCACTCAGGTGAGCGGCAGGAAATGGGAGCTGGGCAGCCACAGACCAGCCGTCTCTCCGTCTGACGGCCTCGGCAGAATCTCTGCCTCCCAGCGCGCTTGGTCCTCCGCCCGCAGGCTTCCCCAGCTCCTTGCCAAGCGGGTTTTCCACCCCAGCCCAGCAGGGCCCTCACTGCCTTCCCCTCGCCTGGCCGGCCGAGCTCCTTGGGCAACTCGGCTGCCTCGTGCCGAGAAGCGCACTGCCAGGTGGGGGCCACGCGGTGCAGGGCAACACGCCACCACCCGGTCCTGGCAAGGGAAAGCAGCGGGCGCTCCCTGGGCGGCGGCTTCAGCCCTGCCACCAGGGAAGTGGCTGCCCAGCTCCGGAGCTGATCCACACCTGACCGGCTGGAAAGGAAGGGTGTGTAGCGTTGGTGTTGTGTGTGTGTGTGATTTCTTGGCATGCAGCGTGGGGTCTCTTTTGGCCGGTCCCGATTTTTTTTTCAGAGGGGAATATCATGCCTGTATTAACCATGATTATTAAATCCAATCCAACTTTGATTATAATTAAATTAAGTCATAACTAGCTTTTCAATGAGTGGAATATATAATAAAATATAATTAAATAATTAAATAAATAAATAAATAAATAAATAAATAAATAAATAAATAAAAACTGGTCCTTGAAAAAGTGTTTCTGCGTGAAACCAGTCCCTGGTACAAAAAAGGTTGGGGACCACTGCCCTATATCACCAGGCTTGAGATTTTGAGCTTGGACAACCTTGAACTACGCCACCTATGGTTAGACTTAAGTGTGGCACACAAAATTATCTGCTACAATGTCCTACCAGTCAATGACTACTTCAGCTTCAACCACAACAATACAAGAGGACACAACAGATACAAACTCAATGCAAACTGCTTCAAACTCGATTGCAGAAAGTACGACTTCAGCAACAGAGTGGTCAATGCCTGGAATGCACTACCTAACTCTGTTATTACATCCTCTAACCCCCACTCCTTTAACCTCAAGCTAACCACTATTGACCTTACCCCATCCCTAAGAGATCTGTAAGGGGCGTGCATAAGTGCACCATCATGCCTACCGCCCCGGTCCTATTTTCCCCATTTATTCGTACATATTTCCTGTATTCTTACTCATGTTTATACTTGCACCTATTGTAAGCGATTGACAAATAAATAAATATCCAGTTGTAGGTTATATTTACTGTGAAAAGTTTGGGAAGAATTGCCTCTTAATTTCTGTTGTCTTTTTACCTGATAATGTGATCCAAAATAACTCCTGCAGCAGCAGGGCTTATTTCATGATATGCAGCATTAGAGATTTGTAACTTTTGCTTCTTGCAGAATTTTTAGATGGGGCAATCACTAAGCAGCTGTCAGGAAAATAGCAGATACCTTTTACCAAATTTAAAATAACTATGGCAACAAAACTAGTAAAATCATTTCTAGAAGCATACTGGCATTGTATATATTTGTTCATTTTCAACATCAGTGATGGCAGAGACTGGCCAATATGTAACCATACGTAACAGAACAGGCTGAACTTGGCTCAGCGGTGTTTTGCATAATTTTGTTTTCATCATTCAGTTCAGCAATTATTTGCTGAGGAATTAGAATGGCCCTGAAAAACCAGTTAGTCAATTGGTCATGCTGCATTAAACTGAAATGAGTTTATCTTTTACAATTAGAGTAAATAGTTTGTTCCCAGCCTTCCAGAATCTTTAAAATAATGAGAATTTATATTAGCTAAAACTCATTCAGTGTCATTCAGTCACTGTTTGATTTACAAAGCAACAGCAGTGTCAGAAAGTTGCAAGAAACAGGGGCTTCCTGTTTGAAATCCGCGATCATGCGCACTGTCAATCCCTGCTTGCCGCTGGAGCGCCCTGATCCTTTGGATTCGGGGCTGAAGCCACCCCGTAGAGGTGGTGAAGAGGGGGGAGATTGCTAGCTGAGTGGAGGGGAGCCGCATCTCTCCTCCTTGGCTGGACTAAACTCCCTTTCCTGAAGGCGGTTGCAGCGGTGGTCAGAAATGGCCACCTCAAAGAAGAACCTGACTAGATAAGATTGTGCAGGAGGAAGACAAAGAGGAAAGCAGGACAGACCGGGCTAAACAACAGAGAACATCTAAGCAAGGTACCCTGAATCTAAAAGTACTTAGAGGGATACTTCTGAAAGAAGACTTTTAAGCGGCGAAGGAGAGAGAAAAGGAGGTTAAAAACCCTTTTTTTTACCTTTATATTGACAACTGCAAATGGTATGGAAAGAAATTTATATTAATTTACTTTGACACTAATAGCCAACTTTAAGCTGAAATTTAAGTATCAAAAGGAGAATAAAGATTTTTTCTTTGGTCATTTTAAAACCCTAAAAAGGAGAAGAGTGGAGGCAAAAGGGTGGAACTTGGAATAATGAAAAAATGAAGTGCCATCTGGAAAAATAAAGAGGATTAACAGCGAAACTTTGAAAAGACTCCTGAGGATACATTGTAACTGAAACCTTATTAAAAGATACAGTAACCCATGGCAAAGAAAAGTAAAGGAAAGAAACAAGAAGGAACAGTCTGGGATCATTTGGTGATATATAAAAAAAAGTTTTTGGCATTGGTTTTTTCTTTCTTTTTTTGTTTTTACTTAAAGTCAATTGGGTGGTTGTTCAAAACTGTTTAAAATGGCATCACTCCTGGAAGAATTGAAGATGAGTCTTAAAAAACAGAAAGAAGATGCAGAAAGGGGAGGAAGATCCTTTGGCTTCATATTTGAATTTCTTGAAATGGAGATCCTGAACTATGAAAAGCAAAAGGGAAAGCTTCAAGAGCAAGAAGAAGGCGGGACAAAGAAGAAGGAAAAAAAACAGGCTGCCTGTCAAATAGAACTGTTAATTTGTGCATGCTTTGTCCCTCTATTTTTCGTTATAATTGCTTTTAACCACATCTACGCCAGGAAAAGCTTTATCCAAGCCAATAGAAGGTGGCACACTTATTCTTGACATGTGCTCCAACATCAGCCCATACTGTAAGCCATGGTCTGAAATATTTTCCTATTTAACAACTGGAGGCACTGATCCAAGTCTTATTAATAACAAAGAGGTAAATAAGTAGTTAATTAAGATTTTTTTTCCAATGTAGACCTGTGCTGTGAATTTAACATTTAATTACAAAATCAGGACATTCAGGACTATGTTGTTAGGCTTACACAATAGAAATGAGCAATTGTGGATCAGCCTACTCTTTTTTGAAATAACGCCCACTTATATAGGAAAACTTGTTCACATAAATAATTTTGTAAATGTCTCTACAAAACAGTCTGAGATCATTCATATTGAAAAGCCATACTTTAGTTCCCTGCTGTTTGTTCAGAAAGTCCCAGTGGACTGGGTTTATAACACGTTAAACTTCCAAAATGCTACT